TCTCATCATTGATGTGTCTATCTCTCTCTCCCCCTCTTCCTTCCTCTCTCTGAAATCAATAAAGATATTTTTTTAAAAAACAAAAAACAAAACAACACCTGAGCTCATAGATACAGAGAACAGATTGGTGTTTGCCAGAGAAAAGGAGTGGTGGTAGGTGAAATGGGTGAAGGGGGTCAAAAGGTACAAACGTTCAGTTATAAAATAAATAATTCCTGGGGATGTAATGTATTAGCCCACTAACTATACTTAACAATAATGTGTTCTATTTCTGAAATTTTTTAAAGAGTTGATCTCTGAAGACAAGAAAAAAACTTTTTTAACTTTATGTGCTGGTAGATATTAAGTAGACTTACTGTGGTGATCATTTCCCAATATACACAAACACTGTATTATGTTGAACACCCGAAACCAACAGGATATTGTATATGTCATTATATCTCTAAAAAAACACAAAGTACTTAGGGATAGAATTAACAAATTTGTGAGCAATGTATATGCTGAAAACGACAACAACCTGCTTAAAGACCAAATTAAATAAAGATAGAGGTATTTATGCAGTTAAAAGTGAAATTAATATAAAAGCCTCCTATATGTAAAGAAGGATATTTCAAAGATAAATTCTAAAGTAATTTTAAGGAATCAGCAATCTTAATTTAAAACACAGATTTGCCTTTATTACTTTTTATTTTTATTTACTTTGCATTTATTTACTATATCCTATTCATGCTTTTGCACTCACTTTCAATGTAAAATTACGTCTGTTTATATAAAATAATGTTCAGCTCCAATAAAACTGTAAAAGAATTACTTTTTAAAATGCAGTAAATATTTAAAACATTTTTAAGTAATAAAAATCAACATGCAGCCTGTCACACTAAAATATCACACTATTCCTCACAAAATGGTTCAATGTAAAATAGACGTGGCCTGATATTTTACATTCAGTTTGTATTTTTATCTCTATTCTCCAACAAATATTCTCTTTTAAGGCTAATGCTTTTGTTCCTTGTAAAGACATCGAATCCATTGTTGCTGCATATTTATCATTTATGATTGCTCATAAGTAATTGTTTACTAAAATTTTAGGGTAAGAATCATATTAAAAATACTCTTAACTTTTAAAATGTCATTATTTTTTATACTATTTTTAGGTAGTTTGTTATACTGAGAGTTTTATGGATTGAGGAAAACACTTTCACTTCCTAAATTGATGAGATCAATTTAGCAGCTATTTAAACCTTAAGATAAGGGTTAACGCTCATCATCAATGAGAATTTCTATACAACGGATCAACTGCACCACCCTTAGATTTGTAGACTATTTTGCCCAGCAGCTCAATCAGGGGTAATGCCACTGGGGGAAAAAACACCACCAGACTCTAAATTCATGTCTGTATAAAACCAATTCTGGGTTTTTTTTCAACCTGTATAAAAACGTGATCATCCGAGGCATATGAAAAAGAATACAATGTTTAATTTTAGCAGGTTGCTAAAATACTGACAACTAACCAATGCCCTGTAAATACTCTTATTTTGGCCATGGCCCACAAGGTTAACTTCTAGAGAATTCAGCCTGATATAATAAAATAACTCATGAAAATTAAATTTTATAAGTTTTTCCACTTTTGAGACAAAATATATAAATTAAGGTAATACCTGTTTATAGCACTTGAAAAATGTCTACATACTAACATTGCCACAGTCTATAAGGTACATAACATTTAGAAAACACAGTTGGTCAAATACTGTTTTCAGATATGTACATATAGAGACAGAAATCCACATTGGTAGCATGAATAGGTCTGATTAGCAAATATCACTCATGTAGATATGATGTACAATCAAGTGTGCCCTTGATTCTAATTACCATTATACACAAGACATCTGTAAATTATATCGTGAGCTGCAATCCCCCATCCACTACCAGAACATGCCCTGTAATATATGGTGATTCTAAGAGAAACACAACTGCATGTGCCACATCAATAGGTTCTCCGAATCTTCCAAGGGGGATACTTTTCTTTAAATGTTCTTCTTTCAAGTCTTTTGTCATATCTGNCAAGGATAATACCTTAGTTCTTCACCTTTTTTGTGTGTGTTTTCTTTTCTTTTCATGCTACCTAGGCAGAAAGCTTATTTACAAACCATATCAAAAGGCCAATTTACTAGCCCAGTGACTATAGTTAACAATAATATATTCTATTTCTGAAAATTGCTAAAAGAATTGATCTTAAAAGTTTTCATCACAAGAAAAAAAGTTTTATAACTATGTTGGTGATGGATATTCAGTAGACTTACTGTAGTGATCATTTCCCAATATATACAGATACAGTATGTTAAATACCTGAAACTAATAGAATGTTGTACATGTCATTACATCTCTAAAAATACATGAAGTATTTAGGAATAGAATTAACATATTTGTGAGCAATGTGTATGCTGAAAACTACAACAACTTGCTTAAAGATCACTCTAAATAAAGACAGAGGGCCCTAGCCCCTCTGTGGTTAGAGGCATCAGCCCTCAGACTGAAGAGGCCCGGGCTCAATTCCGGCCAAGGGCATGTACCTCAGTTGCAGGCTTAATCCCCAGCCCAGACTGGGGCGAGTGCAGGAGGCAACCAATTGATGTGCCTCTCTCACATCGATATTTCTCTCTCTCTCTCCCCCTTCTACTCTCTCTCTCCCACTTCCACTTTCTCTGAAAAGCAATGGAAAAAATATCCTCAGGTGAAGATTAAAAATAATAATAAAAAAATAAAGCCCAGTTGAGCGTGGCTCAGCGTTTGAGCATCAACTTAGGATCCAGGAGATCACAGCTCAATTCATGGTCAGGGCACATGCCCAGGTTGCAGGCTCGATCCCTGGTTGGGGGCATCCAGGCAGCTGATCAATGACAACTCTAATCATTGATGTTTTTCTCTTTCTCTCTCCCTCTCCCTTCCTCTCTCTGAAATCAATAAAGATATATTTTTTAAAAAATGAATGACACAGAATATATATATAAAAAATAAATAAAGACAGAGGTATTTACCCTGAATATAAAGGAAACTTAAAAATTATTAAATATTTTAGCATCTTTTTCAAATTAGGGTAGTGGTACGATTTCTCAATTTGCACGTATTTCCATTTTGAAAACCTGGAAAAATGTTTCAGCAACATAAGGCAAAACTCTTGTATATCCAGAATAGTCTCCCTTTATTCTACATAAGAGAAGCATATAAATTAAATGACCTTCTTTGCACCTATTATTGACCCCCATATAATTTATAATGTATAATTTTATCTCTAGAAAGCAGTTAAAAACTATCTCATAAGCTGAATATGGATAAAAGTATGAAAAGGAGCAAAAATGTTAAAACCTTCCATGCAAAAATTATAATACATTGGCTTTAAGCACAAACCATTTTTTAAAAAATGCTAAACACAATTTGGATTATAGGCTCATATTTGTCACATAGTAGCCACAGATTAGACTTATTGTTAAGAATTCATTGAATTTCTTGAACCTCTGAACATAAGCAACAGCTGGCAACTTTTTTCAGCAAGTATTAAATGACAAATTCTACCAGATTAGTGGAAGTGGGTGGAAAATTCATCTGGAATGGAACAGTGAAAGCTTATTTTACCAATTTCAAGATTTCTCCTCATATTACACCAACAGCTTGATATGGGCTGGGGAACAGGGTGGAAGAGTTAAAAGGGTTATATTTCTTAAAGTGTAAATACACATTTAAAGTTGAAACCTACCAGTGTCATCAGTTCCATGAAATACATTGCTTTCTTCCTAATCACCAGTCAAATCAGCCTCACTGATACTTTCAGAACACGAGGTGTCCAGAGAAAGGAATTCAAGCCTGAGCGGATGTCAAAATAAAGAAGTGCAGGGAGCCAAAGGCCTGCAGGTGAGACAGCATTAGAAAAATGGTCTGCTCTGTCTGCATAAACTCTCCTAGCATAGAAGCATCATTACCACATTTGAAACCATCTTTAATGCTGCATTTCTTATATGTGCCTGGAATTCCTAGTGCCTGATAAATTCTGTAAATTACCATGCTTTCATTTAGTAGACAATTTGATTAATCATATTAATTTTATTCACACTTAATGGACTTTCTCACATCCTAAAAAGACTCCTGTATGTAAAGAAGGCTATTTTAAAGAAATATTCTAAAGTAATTTTAAGGAATCAGCAATCTTAATTTAAAACATAGATTTGCCTTTATTACTTTTTATTTTATTTCATTGTATTACTTTGAATTTATTTACTATATTCTATTCATGCTTTGCACTGACTTTCAATGTAAAATTACATCTGTTTATATAAAATAATGTTCAGCTCCAATAAAACTGTAAAAGGATTACTTTTTAAAATGCAGTATTTAAAACATTTTTAAGTAATAAAAATCAACATGCAGCCTGTCACATTAAAATATCACACTATTCCTCACAAAATAGTTCAATGCAAAATAGATGTGGCCTGATATTTTACATTCAGTTTGTGTTTTTATCTCTATTCTCAGGCAAACATTTTAAGACTAATGCTTTTGTTCCTTGTAAAGACATCGAATCCATTGTTGCTGCATATTTATCATTTATGATTGCTCAAAAGTAATTGTTTGCTAAAATTTTAGGATAAGAATTATATTAAAAATGCTCTTAACTTTTAAAATGTCATTATTTTTTATACTATTTTTAAGTAGTTTGTTATACTGAGAGTTTTATGGATTAAGGAAAACACTTTCACTTCCTAAATTGATGAGATCAATTTAGCAGCTATTTAAACCTTAAGATAAGGGTTAACGCTCATCATCAATGAGAATTTCTATACAACGGATCAACTGCACCACCCTTAGATTTGTAGACTATTTTGCCCAGCAGCTCAATCAGGGGTAATGCCACTGGGGGAAAAAACACCACCAGACTCTAAATTCATGTCTGTATAAAACCAATTCTGGGTTTTTTTTCAACCTGTATAAAAACGTGATCATCCGAGGCATATGAAAAAGAATACAATGTTTAATTTTAGCAGGTTGCTAAAATACTGACAACTAACCAATGCCCTGTAAATACTCTTATTTTGGCCATGGCCCACAAGGTTAACTTCTAGAGAATTCAGCCTGATATAATAAAATAACTCATGAAAATTAAATTTTATAAGTTTTTCCACTTTTGAGACAAAATATATAAATTAAGGTAATACCTGTTTATAGCACTTGAAAAATGTCTACATACTAACATTGCCACAGTCTATAAGGTACATAACATTTAGAAAACACAGTTGGTCAAATACTGTTTTCAGATATGTACATATAGAGACAGAAATCCACATTGGTAGCATGAATAGGTCTGATTAGCAAATATCACTCATGTAGATATGATGTACAATCAAGTGTGCCCTTGATTCTAATTACCATTATACACAAGACATCTGTAAATTATATCGTGAGCTGCAATCCCCCATCCACTACCAGAACATGCCCTGTAATATATGGTGATTCTAAGAGAAACACAACTGCATGTGCCACATCAATAGGTTCTCCGAATCTTCCAAGGGGGATACTTTTCTTTAAATGTTCTTCTTTCAAGTCTTTTGTCATATCTGTATGAACAAATCCTAAAAGAGAAATGTTTATTTAGTAGCAAAGGGTAGACACTAAGACATTGGCTCAATTTCAAATAAAAATAAATTTGCTCCAGAAAATTTGAGGTTACTAATAAACCGTTTAGGAAATACAGTTTGCTAGCAATCAAGCCTACGTTTTTATTCAATTTAACTCAATGCACATTTATTGAACACTAAAATCTTTGATTCTCAAATATTTGGCCCAACTCATACCACAATGTAAGTGGGTACATATAAACATGAATAAAAATTCTATTCCTTGGGGAACATATAACTTATGGAGGAAATAGTCACTTGTACCCTTAATTCTAATGTAAGAAAGTCCAGTGAATATCCTTATAGAGGTATGCACAAAGTACTCCAGAATTCATTAATTTTCACTTGAGTTGGGTAGAGGGGTGGATGGTAGGGTAGAGGGAAGGAAGGCATCACAAAGGTGGTCCCATGGACCAGTCAGGCACTATGACAAATATTAGTTCCATTTGCTGTAACTAGGACAGCTGATGACATTAGAAAGGCCAGTATTTCCAACATTCATATAAGAAGAAACTTTCAGTCATATCCAATTCTGATACAAGTATACAGAGAAAAGTAAAATTTTAACATGGCATTGGTGTATGCAGTAAAGCTTGCAGGGAACATGTTCTAAAGCATAAAGTTATGTAGTATAAAGTGTTATGTAATACAGTAAGCAACTAGTCCTAAGTGACTCATATTATACATATATGCCAGAAGGACTATAGATTTATTAATAAAATCTTGTGGTTAATCTGAGACATACAAATACATACTCCCAATAAAATACTTAACTTATATCATCAGTATTCACTATTCAATAATTTAAGCTTCAAAAAAGAAAGCAAATAAGTAGTCCTCATAAAAGGAACAATAATTAGAAAAATATTAAAAAGTTTTATGGTCATAAAAAATAATGGATTAAGAGTTAGACATAACATGTGAAGTACAAGTTTAATGTGCAATCTCAAAAACACAGTCTCCTGGGAGATTAAAGACAGCGGTGGACTGAGTGGAAGCTACACTGACACTCTCCCAGGACCAAACTAGAATTACAACTAAAATACAGAAAAACCATCCTGAATAATCAACTGCAACTGAAGATGAGCTGGAGAGCACCCTCATAACCAAGGAGGAAAAGTGGAGACCAAATAGAGCTGGTAGGAAGTGTGGAGACGTAAGAGGGCTGGCTGAGCTCCCACAGGCAGCAGTTGAAGGTCCGGAGGGATATCTCAGCTGTGGGGGGTTCCCACTGAGGATTCTGGGGCCTCAATCCCAGGCTGGGCTTCCCAGCCAAGAGCACCAAAACTGACGTTATGTGGTACCCATATAACATCTGGCTGTGAAAAGCAGCTGGGTTTCTGTCTGCCAGGGAGAGAGAGCTAGAAATGCAGGCACCCTCTTAAAGAACCAACGCACAAAGTTTCATGTGCAGCCACTCACCCTGGGCTCCAGCAGAGGGAGGGAGGAGTGGACTGAAGCTGTGTGAGGAAAATCTAGGGTTGTGGGCTTTGGAGATAGAGCTCAGAGGGCACCCCTCTGGATTGCTGTACCAAGTCATTCCCCCATTCTGCAGAGGCACACAGTTACCTTCCAAGCAGCTTTTGCCTGAGGGGGAAGCAATTGTCCTACCCTGCTGGAAAACCTCTCGCCATACCCCATAGAGTTTCTACAGCCTGAGGCTCATTAAGAGAATCAGATTAATCAGCCTGCAGGCAGAGGAAGATTTCAGGATGCTTTGAGTCTCTGCCTGATCTGCTTCTAGACCAAAGTAGACTTTGGTATGCATCTTGGTCATGTCCAAACACACACAGTCCCAACAGAGGGGACCTCAAGCCATGGGATGCTGATAGTTCCAACAGTGTACTTAAGGCCAGTCACAAACAGCATCTGACACTGGCCTGCACCACAGACCATCCAAAAAGCCTAAGAGACCTAGCAAGCCTACATAGAAACAAACCCAAATAGGCAGCCAAAATGGGGAGACAAAAAAAAACCCCAAATTAAAGAACAAGAGAAGTCCCCAGAAAAAGAGCTAAATGAAATGGAGATAAGCAATCTAACAGATATAGAGTTCAGAATATTGACTGCAAGGATGCTCAACAGCATGAAAAAAGATGTGGAAACTACGAAGGAAATTAAGAATAACATAGCAGAAATAAAGAAGACATTGGGAGGAATAAATAGCAGATTAGAGGAAGCTGAGGATTAGATCAGTGAATTAGAAGACAGGGTAGAAAAAGTCACTCAGTCAGAGATCCAAAAAGAAAAAAACAATTAAAAACAAGAGGACAGTCTAAGGGAGCTGTGGGACAATATGAAACGTAACAATATTCGCATCACAGGAATGCCAGAGAGGTCGAAAGTAAGCAAGGAGTAGAGAATCTGTTGGCAAAAAACTTCCCTAACCTGGTGAAGGAAAAAGTCACATAAGTTCAGGAGGCACAGAGTCCCAAGCAAGAACCCAAAGAGGCCCACACCCAGACACATCATAATTAAAATGCCAAATATTCAAGACAAAGAGAGAATATTAAAGGCACCAAGAGAAAAGCAATCTGTTACCTACAAAGCAGCCCCCATAAGGCTGTCAGCTGACTTCTCATCAGAAACTCTACAAGCCAGAAGGGAATGGCATGAAGTATTCAAGGTAATACAAAACAAGAATCTGAAACCAAGACTACTCTATCCAGCAAAGCTACCATTCAAAATAGATGGTGAAATAAAGAGCTTCCCAGACAAAATAGGGCTAAAGGAGTTTATCACCGCCAAACCAGCATTGCAGAAAATGTTAAAGGGACTGTTGTAATTAGAAGTAGAAATAGAAGCACTGTAAGAAATGTTAAAGGGAATGCTGTAACAATAAGAAGAAATAGAGAGGGAAACTTAGGCATAAAGAATTATAATGGCAATAAATAAGGACCTATCAATAATAACCTTAACAACTTTAAGGGAGAGATCAACAGCAATACAGTCATAGTTGTGGACTTTAATACCCATCTGACTTCACTGGATAGATCTTCCAGATAAAAAGTCAACACAGAAACAGTGACTCTAAATGGCACACTAGATCACATGGATTTAATTGATATTTATAGGACATTTCACCCCAAAGCTGCAGAATATACATTCCTCTCAAGTGCACATGGGTCATTCTCAAAGACAGACCACATATTAGGACACAAAACCAGTCTCTACAAGCTCAAGAAGACTGAAATCATATCAAGCATCTCAGATCACAATGGCATGAAATTAGAAATCAACTACACTAAACACACTCAAAAACATTCAAACACATGGAGGCTAAATAACATGTTATTAAACAATTAATGGGTTACCAATAAGCTCAAGAAAGAAATCAAAAACTTCCTGGAAACAAATGAAAATGAACACACAACAACCCAAATCTATGGGACACAGCAAAGGCAGTCCTAAAAGGGAAGTTCATAGCCCTGCAGGCCTACCTCAAAATGCAGGAAAAATTTTTAGTAAACTATCTAACCCTACAACTTAAAGAATTAGAAAGCTCCCCTGTGAAGCTGTCTGGAACAGGGCTCTTGTTTGCTGGGAGTTTTTTTGTTGCTGCTTCAATTTCATCAGTTGTTATGAGCCTATTCAGGTTTTCTGATTCTTCCTCATTCGGTTTTACATAATGTCACTCAGATGTGGAATCTAATAAACAAACTAGACTGAAGAACAAAATAGATTCAGAGACATAGAAGCATGAACAGACTGATGAATTTCAGTGGGAAGGCAGAGGTGGGGGAGTGGGTGGGGGGAGATTAACCAAAGAATTTATATGCCTAACCCACGAACACAAACAATAGTGTGGTGAAGGCCTGGGCAGGGTGGGGCAGATGTGGGGTAGAGGGGATCAATGGGGAGAAAAAGGGGGATATCTATACTTTCAACAATAAAGATAAATTTAAAAAAAAAGAACTAGTTGAATAAATCATGGTACATCCACAAAATAGAACAATATATAGGTATTAAAATGATTCTACTGAAAGATATTTAAGAGAAAACATTTGTATAGTTAAACAGTTTACAAACGAGCCATACTAGTATTAGAAGGTACACATTTAGTTATAAAATAAATAATGACTGCAATGTCCAGCATGGCGACTATAGATAATACTGTATTGTACATTGTACATTTGAATGTAGCTAAGAGAGTAGACCTTAAAAATTCTTATCACAAGAAAAAAATTTTTAATTATGTATGGGGACAAATGTTTACTATACTTACTGTGATTATTTCTCAATATATACAAATATGGAAGAGCAATGTTGTATACCTAAAAGTAATGTAATGTTGTATGTTCATTTTACCTCAAAAATATATAAATTTAAAGAAACAAAAAAATACTTATACTACTAACTCTATATATGTACCAAAATATTAACAGTGATTATAATTAGATACTAGAATTACAAATAATGGTTATTTTTCTTCTTCGTATTTGTCTGTACTTTCCTAAATGTCAACAACAGATATATATTATTTTTGTATTTAGATTAAAAATTATAGAAAAAGATGCACAGTACTAACTTCAGATTATCTATAATGAGGGCCTGGAATAAAATAACAAGTTTATAGTTCTGTGATTCATTGAGAGATTACATTATGAAATACAATCTCCTCTACCATAAAATCTTACCACATTTATTTAAAAAGTCAGCAAAGTTTCCCTCATTCCCTTTCATCTTTAAGAACAATGAGATGGCCAGAAGAAATGCAAGAATAAAAGCAGCAGCTGACACAGATAATGATAAAACTGGATAACCAGCCTTGGCATAATTTTAAGCGAACTGGAAATGAAGCTTCCTCTACACTGAAGAGTCAATAATCAGTGGACAATCCAGTCATCTCAAGAACTATTGTTGGGCTCCCTGATATCCAAAGTTCAATGTCCTTGGGCACGCTTATTTTCAAAGATGCCTCAGAGAGTGTATTAGAAAGAAGAATTCACCTCACACGTTAAAGAAGTTGAATGAATTAAAATTACGAGTGTAACATTTAAAGCTTGTTTCTTCCCAGAGTTCATGACGCAATTATCCTTTAATCTAAGGTCATTCTGAATTCAAGAAAAATTGGCATAAAATATTTCCCCACTTACTTTCAAACGTCACTATCAAACTCTCAAGTTAGTCAAAGTAGTTTTATATATGGCAAACAAAATTGGGGAAATTACTACCTGACTTCAAGACCACAATGCTACATAATCAAGACAGTATGGTATTGGTGAAGGGATACACATATAGGAGATCAGTGGAACTGAAGAGAGAACCCACTCAAGGCTATGAAGAAAGGAAAGGCCTGCAGCAAATGCTACTGAACAACACATATGGAAAACATTTTATTTTTATTTTTATTTTTTTAAAATATATCTTTATTGATTTCAGAGAGAGGAAAGGAAAGGGAGAGAGATAGAAACATCAATGATGAGAGAGTCATTGATGGAGCCCGCAACCCGGGCATGTGCCCTGACCGGGAATCAAACCCCAATCGCCTGGATCCTGCAAAACTCTTTAAAGCAATGTACCCATTACAGTTTCAATTTATAAAATACTGTTTCATATTTTCCAATCAGTAAGATGTATCCATGATGAGTAATTTATTTCATATTTACAGTAGTATCAAAGCTTACCAACTAATTGATCTTTAAAAAATTAGTAGCTCTGTCCGGCTAATTCCATTGGTTAGAGCATCGTCCAGTACACCAACGAGCTGCAAGTTCAATTCCCGTTCAGGGCATATACCTAGGTTGCGGGCATGTACAGGAGGCAACCGATCCATGTTTTTCTTTCACATAGTTGTTCGTCTCTCTCTCTCTCTCTCTCTAAAGCAATAAAAACCTATGCTCGGGTAAGAATTAAAACAAATAAATCAGTAATATTAGGCAGTGGCCCTGGCTGGTGTGGCCCAGTTTGTTGGGGCATCATCCCTTACACCAAAAAAGGCTGTGGGTTAAAATCCAGGTCAGGGCACATACCAAGGATGCACATTCAGTCCCTGCTCAGGGTGGGTAGGGGAGGCAACTGATCCACGTTTCTCTCTCACATGGATGTTTCTTTCTCTTTCTCTTTCTCTCTCTCTCCTCCACGCCCCACTCTCTCTAACCAATAAATACATATCCTCAAGTGGGAATTTTTAAAAAATAAAAATAATAGTNTTTCTCTCTCTTTCTCAAAATCAATAAAAACATATCCTCTGGTGAGGATTAAAAAAAAAGAAAAAAGAAATCAATAATATCAGGCAGTGAATGACAGCCTGGTTTGTTATTTTCCTTGCCCCTGCTTTTCCTGTTATGATTTGCTTTTCAATTATGTTCCTTAATTGGAAGCGCGATTTGAAGGTGACCAGAAAACTGACATGAAAAGATACTTATTTGTTAATTCTGATATTTGTCAGGTCTATTAAGAGATCTGGTGAAGAATCTGATTATAATTACTATAGAAAATAAAGTTAATAAGTAACCCATAGAATCATTATAATTGTACTTTTTCAACTTATACTTTGCCTCTGACCAATGAAGCATGTTCGTACTGTGAAACCTACTTATATGCAGCCAATAAAATGTAATAAAGGTCACCTTATTAAACGACCACATTTTTAGCAGCAGGCTTTTGTGTGTGGTATAAACTGCAGTGGAGAGATCTTTAGAAAAGGTTATACATACAAACACACTTCCATAAGACTCATAAAACTTCCCTTTGTATACAAACTGGATTCCCACTATTTAGCCTGTTGCCTTGACAACTAATTCACTCTAACAAAATTAAGCATTCATTCTTCAGCGTTTCCATAGCACCATACATGTATCTTTATATTCATCATATGCCATTGCAATTATTTGTTCATGTGTCTGGCTTTCCCACTGTACTTAGCTCCTTGTGGCAGAAGTATCTTACTCATTTTTGTACTTTTGGAACCTAACACAGGCTTTGCACATAGGAGACACTACAGTAAGGAAGTGTGCTGAATGACTGATTATGAGTTAAGAACACCTGCATTACCTCTAAACCATCAGCTTTTAAATCACTATGACCTGGAATTAACTCTTCATTACCCACACCACTGCAATCGCTAAGAGAAAAGGAAGGAAATGCATGCAGTCCCAAACCACAAAAATCTATTCTCCATATGGATAAACTAGGCTAACACTAAAATCAATCACACTGCACAAAGCACACACAAACAGAAAGCAGTGCCAGGATGACAGTGCAACTTTTGGATTATCCTGTTTTGGTTTGGTTTTGAAAAATGGATGTACTGTATCGAAACCAGAGTCTATCAAATGTTCATGGACTGGAATGCTTGAATTGAGCCGGTCCCTGTGACTAAACAAAGAGTTGGGATGAAGGCACTTGATACAGCAAAAGGGCTATCAGACATTTGACCATCCCCTAATCCCTACTGGTTCAACATCAGTGTCAAAGGGAACACCAACTCTAGCGCCCAAGCTGCAGCCATTAGTGACTTGAAATGAAAAGGTGGCAAAAGTCTACTTTGCCTGCTCTTTCTTATAACCAATAAACTACACAAAATGTCTTTTCTTAATACAGGTAATCAATTCTTAAATACCTGTAGTAAGCTAGCACAAAATTCCATGGCTAACTGGCAGAGGTAGATGAAAACACTCACATTATTCAAAAGCAAGTAAATATCAAACCAAAATTTCTATCACACCATCTATGAGTGATAATGGTAGATTCAAATTTTAGCACCTTTTTATTACCCTCTTAATGACCTCAGACAATTTTATCAACTAGTAATTTGGCAAAAGGCAAATAATATAAAGATGAAAGTTTCAAAATCGGATACTTGCACATAGTTTCAACAGAACATATCAGCAAAAGGACAAAAAGATCTAAAAGGTTGCTAATGATACAAAGGAAATCTAAGGGATCATTACTTTTAAGCTTACCTTAGCTAGAAATCAAAAGATAAAGCTTTTAGTAAGAGTCCTGACATAAACCTTTAGGGAGTCACTGCCCCCTAGGTCCCAGTCTTCTAAACTGTAAAAATGACTGGAATAAATGATATACAACATCCTTTCCACCTCACAGTTTTCCAAAATTAAAACTTAAAGATTTTAAAGAAAATAGAAGGTACAGGGAATTGTTTTCTAGTCACCAGTTCACTCTTTGATTCTTTACACAATCATTTTAGAGCTATTCTGCCCAGATGTCCATCTATGAGTACCGTTAATAGGCCAATTAGTGGCTCCCTTCTCTATGACCCCCAAAAAAATGAAGAGTTTCTTTAGCCTGCAGGAACCTGTACTATACTTCTGGTCATTATGTTTTAATATTTTCCAATTACCACTTACTAACAAACCAACGTAATTGGTTTTATGTCCCATTTAATCCATCAATATTTTCAAGTAATGTGGAATACCCAAAGTCAGCATAATAAATAAAAGGAACAAGTGCACAAAAATGGCCCTCTAAACTTTTTTTAAAATATATATCTATATCTTTATTGAATTCAGGGAGAGGAAGGGAGAAGGAGAGAAAGAGATAGAAACATCAATGGTGAGAGCAATTGATCCGCTTCATCCTGCACACCCCTGACCAGGGATCGATCTCCCAACTCAGGCTTATGCCCTGACCGGGAATCAAACCTCGATCTCCTGGATCATAGGTCAATGTTCAACCACTAAACCATGCTGGCTGCGTAGTCCTCTAGACTTCTCAAAGGTGCTCTGATTTCTGTGTCCTTAGCTCAAATCACACTTGTTTTGTCTTACAGGTGAATTGCCTCTCAGATGGCTTGGATTTTCCTGCATGTTTAACAAGAACACAAGTGTTCCTGATACATTCCCTACAGGAAGGCAGCTCTATGGTAAGTTGCCCACCGTGACTTCTATTTTGAAAATTCATTAAACAGCCACCTCTCTAACAATCTTCACTGTTGGCCACTCCCAATATGTCTGATTTTAGAAGCCTCCTGCATATGGAATACAACTTGTTCATGCCAGAGTACAAGTGTTCTCATTTCTATTGTGATGCACTACCACTTTCCTCCCTCATGACATTACACAACGAGCTTCCACTTGGTCATTAAACAGGCAACTACTGCTAAAATCATTATAACATCTTATTACTTCATGGAGTTTCTTTTTAAAATATCTTTCTTTATGTAAATATCTTTCTTGCCTCTAAATTTTTCTTTGTGTTGAATTTGAAACACAAACATTGGCTAGCTCTCTGGGGTACAATGAGGTCCAATGAAAGGTATCTTGTCTACTTGGAAAAGAAACATTATATGACCTCTGGCAACTCTTTTTCTGAACAAATACTGACTTTCTGGAGTAATCAGTAGATCAGTTAGTGCACATGACTGCTTTGTGAAATGTGCAAACAATATCACCTACACAGCCTTGTTTATTTCCTCTGAATTGCACTCTTAAAAGCATATTGTATTATAGAGCTATTCAGATATTTTAAATAAAAAGATGTATTATATTCACACACAGAGACATACACACACTTGAAGTTCTTACATTCTTAATTTATAACTGATTTTTAAATGAGACATTTCTTTTGTGATTTTAGTTTGGGAGTTATCATTCAGTAAAATACGCAACGTGGTTTATGCAAACAAAACAGCCAGGCATTACTGTTGGCCTCCTCCGTGAGGGTGGTGCACAGCCTGGCAGTGTGGCCGTGGAAGTCCTGTCAGGACGTAAGCAGGCCCTCCTGCATTTCACTGCTCAAGAGTTTAGTAGCACTGCAGATTCCGGGTTCCTGGGCCAATACTCTGATGAGCACTTAATGATGCTGATGTACTTACAGTCTTTGCAATTGTTGTATAAAGCCATAAGCATACATAAATTATGTTTAAAAATAAATAAGAAATTTTCACTAACCTGGTGCAACTACATTCACTCTAATTTTCTGTCTTGCTACTTCTTTAGCAAGAGCTCGTGAAAATCCAACCAATCCTCCTTTACTGGCACTGTACACAGACTGACCAGCATTGCCTTTTAAACCAATAATACTTCCTAAAAAAAAAAAAAAAAGCAAATCCAAACCAACTTAATGGGGTTATTTGCATATGCAGATAACTTATACTAAACAAATAAGATACAAATCATTTTACCTTGTCCTTTGCTAAAATTAGGAATTCTGACCATTGTCCCTTGACTGGTAAGAGCCTGAATCTGCTCCAGATACACAGAAAACAGGATTTGGAAGATGCTTACTTGAAACCTCAATGCCAAAAAGGGTTTGAGAATTGATCCGTTAAGTGAAAGAAACCTACTCTCCTCTCTGAATGGGTCACATGGTGAAAACTGCACAGTAGGAAAGGGTGAAACCGGGAAAGCTCAGATAGTGGCTCATTAATTTTACAGTTCTACAACACAGACATAAGGAAGCATTCATTTCAGCCTAAGAATAGTTCACCTGATGATAAATCTCACTAAATTTGAATTACTGTCCATCTAAACACTGAAAAGCATCAATTACTAACTTTTGGTGAAACTGCAATTTAGTTACCTTCAGTGATGTATTATAACTTGCATTGCCTACTAAAGATTCTTGGGTGGCCTCATTTATATGAATATGAAAGGACAACNGATGTATTATAACTTGCATTGCCTACTAAAGATTCTTGGGTGGCCTCATTTATATGAATATGAAAGAACAACTCATAATTCAAATATCAACTGTAAGCAAATAAATTCATGCAAAACATAAATGGAGAGGTAATTTTCTGCACCAGTGACCTATCCTTATGATATGAAATTAATCGAGAACCTCACAAAATTTTTGGAAAGTAATTTTATTTTAGAAAACATTCCAAATGCAATTTATGTTACAATCAACAAGTCCAGTATTAAAATGTTTATCTACATTATATGTTAATAACTAAGGGTGAGAACGGTGAAGCACAGAAAGAAAGAAAACAGATAGCAGACAGGGAAATGCAGATGGACAGAGCAAGGAGGACTTGGAAGAAAGAGGAACAGGGAGAAACACACAAAAAAAGAAAAATATGGGCATGGAAAAATGGCCAAAGGAAGTTTTAAAAGCTCTGGTTCATGCCACATAATACTTCTCTTCAAACAGGGTAATTTTGGAAATACCATCAATTTTCTACAAGTTTAAAGTGGTCCTTTCTACAAGATTCTCTTAATTTAAACTATCTATTTTTAGTTACTGTTAGTACATTTCTAAAGGTTTGCATGTATACAAGGGAATGACAAGGGTTTTTTAAATATATCTGAAAGGGAGATATTTTAGAGTTAAACAAATACACCCCTCCTTATTGGCTCATATATACAGGCCGGTACACCACCAGCTTACAAGAACTTAACATTATTACCTGGCTGTGTTAGAAAGTAAAGGTCGACTCATTTACTATCTTTTATAAGAAAATTGATCTCTTATATTCTTAAGGATAAATGTCAAAAATGTTCTAATGCTTATTAGCACATTATTCTTCTCTCGTCTCAATTTCCAAAAAGAAAAGCCCTACATCTGGANCTTAAGGATAAATGTCAAAAATGTTCTAATGCTTATTAGCACATTATTCTTCTCTCGTCTCAATTTCCAAAAAGAAAAACCCTACATCTGGCATGGAAAGCCATTTCCTAAATTAAAAAGCACAGGGTCATTTACTTCAATGAAGAAGTATCCCCCTTTTGTGGCTTTTTAAGGTATCACCACCTAAAATTAAACAGCAGATTGGACGCTGCTCTTTTCAAATTACCAAACTGAAATAAAATTTCAAGCCATTTTGCAATTTAGGTCTAAAGTCAGAAGAACTAAAGATCACAGGTTGCTTATATCCATGCTAAAAAACTGAGAAAGTCACTCTCTTAAGAAAGCTTCCTCTTAACCTCTGTACTTGATTAATCAGTGACCCAGGCAGCTGCTCTAGACATCATTTTTAGCCCCCAATATATAAAATTTTTCAATTCCTTCTCTGTATTTTAAAAACTAGGTGTCATGTAAAAATCAGGATGTTCAATTTCTCTTAAAAAATCAAAATAGCTGGCAAAACTGGGACCCCATTTGTGCATAGCAACATTCTACTGGATTAAGCAAAGGTTGCTCCTGCTATTCTAATGGCCTCTGTACACCAAAGCTGGGTCTTTGTCACTCATCACATGGCTTGTGCTGTCATTTTTCTTTTTCTTTTTCCTTTTTTTAATATATCTTTATTGATTTCAAAGAGAGGAAGGGAGAGGGAGAGAGAGAGAAACATCAATGATGAGAGAGTGGTCATTGATCAGCTGCCTCTTGCATGTGCCCCACCAGGGTTCGAGCTCCCAACCAGGGCATGTGTCCTGTTCGGGAATCGAACCTCCATCTCCTGGATCATAGGTCAATGCTCACCACTGAGACACGCCCGGCTGGGCCAATCATTTTTCTTATACTTGGTGATGTCAACTCATTTATCACCTACTTGACCACTCTAAGGATGTGAATTTGTGATTCCATTTTACCCATTAATCAGTTAATCTAATCCTTTTTCCACAGATAATAAAATGACACATTTCATCCAAGTTTCACCCATGAGAAAATTCCAATTTAGCCAAGTAAATATTTTTATGGTACTAAAAAATAATCATTAATTCACAAAGGTGAAGACTCACCTACATTCACAATAGACCCTCTCTTTTGCTGAATCATAGTTTTCATGGCAGCTCTGCAAGTCAGCATGCAACCCAAAAGGTTAGTATGAAGCTGAGACATCATATCTTCAGTTTTTGTTCTTACTAAAAGGCTATCCCTAAATTAAATAAAACAAAATAAAAAGCATGCAAATTAAAAATTGTGTAAAACAAAAAACATCAAGAAATACGTAACGTTTTTACTGAGAATAGAAGTGCTTCANGCATGCAAATTAAAAATTGTGTAAAACAAAAATCAAGAAATACATAACATTTTTACTGAGAGTGTAAGAAGTGCTTTGTATCTGAGCAAGAATACCTAGAAAGTCCCATTTTAAACTTGGTTTCAGAGGCACTAAAATAACTGATAAGCCAGAAAGGATCCACTTGGAAGCCACCTTCCTACCCCCTCAGGTACAGTGGCAAATATTCCTAACTGTGAGAAGTGGTGCCATGTAGCCAAAATAGCCTGAATTAACTGAGCAATTGCCATGCTAAGCATTCCTTGTTTAGCAAGAAAATTAACATATTTTTCTAAATACTTGGTCCCAAACTCATCAAAAAAAAAAAAGAATACCCATTGTGACTCCATTAATGTTAAGTTCATGAAGTGACAAAATTTATGTATGATGACAGAAGTCAGAATTGTAGTTAAGCATAAGGAACTATTAACTGGGAAGAAACTGAGAGAGCTTTCTGAAGTGCTGAAAAAGTTCTGCAGCTCAACATGAATGTTGATTATAATGTTAAAACTGATCGAACTGTACCCTTATTGTATTATCTCAAAATAAAAGACTGCATGGATTCACAGATCAAATTTTAAAATACGGTTTTTAATTCCAATTAGAAGTAAAACAACTTAATTGTCACATCAACTCATACTAATCAAAGACATATTAAGGAAAAAATGACATTAGAAATATACTTAAATTTGGAACCAACCTGTTAATTCCAGCTGCATTTACCAAGAAGTTAACAGGGCCTAAATTTTTCTCCATCTCTTCAAATGTATTCTGAACGTCATGTTCATTGGCAACGTCACATCTAAATGCCAAATGACCACCTACACAACAAAGGTTAGAATTACTTATAACTTATAACTGGAACTTAAAATTTTTATCTAGTAACATTTGTTAAGCATCTGCTATGAACTAGGCCTGTGCTAATCTAGAACCTAGAGATAAAAGATGATGTCATGGGTTCCTCCTCTAGTGGAGTTCAGTCTAATAAAACTGGGATGGGGGCCAGTGGGGAACAAGGAGAAATAAAGTGACACTACAGAATGTAAATCCTAAAACTTGCTTTTCAATCAACAAAAAGTGGGGAAAGGGCATTTTTGGGGCTCATAATGCTTTGTAAAATTCACCCTATAATACTTATAGCTTTGACACTGACTCCATCTACTCAACTCAAAACTCTTCTGGGTTTCATATTCTTTTTTTGAAATGTATGTCTAATTCTGTTAGATTTTTCTCCAGTTGTTTTCCTGGTCCTTCCCTGAGCATAAACTCTAGGATTTCATTTTTCTTTTTCACTATGACACATATATTATTATATGTCTACTGTTCAAGCCTGACCATTAGGAGAGAGAAGACAAAACAGGTAGCTGTAAAAATACTGAAACTGCAAACCATGAAAAAAAACTTTTTACTAAAAGCAACTGTTGTTTATCCTTTACTAAAAGTACCCCCTGAAGCCTTTAAAAACCGTAAATCACTGGGAAGTCACACTTTCTGAGTGTAAACCACTCATGGAACATGAATCAAAGAAATGAAAGGCCTAAAACCATCCTGTGGCTCCCTCTTGGCTTTCACCTGAGGAGCTGTTGGGTCCACAACCACCCTTGAAAGGTCAACCAACAGTTTTCATCTGGTCCAGCAAACATTGGTGGCTTGCAGTGACTCCATACAGACCACCACTTTTTCGCTCCTTTGTCAAAGTAACATAATGGCAACGAATCTGAGCAAGAAGCATTCACTGAAATTCTCTCTGGTCTATTACTTATAAGGTCCCTAGCAACCCAAGTCCAAAGCTCCCATTTTGGTAGGAGCAGTCACAGAAGCGGGAACTTGGCAGCCTACAAACCACAGTGACCACAAGCCTCTGCCAAACCACAACCAACCAGTGAGAACACCTGTACACACTCCGGACTCCCCCTCCCGTCCAAAAAAGTCTCCACCCCCTCCCGGGTGGTGACTGCCCATTAGGCTCACTCCACCTAGACCCAAGTGGTTTTCAATAAATCTGTTTTTAAACTCTCAACAAGCCCTGTACATTCTCTCCCTTGGCAAATCCCCCTAACATAACTTATGTGGGTTTTTTCTTTTAGACAGTCTTTCTCCTAAGCCATGTAACCAATCAGGGTGAACCCATAAGTAATGTTAAAGGTTACAGCCACCAGCTGCATCCCCAGGCCTCTATTTCCCCCCAGTGCCTCCCTGATAGTAAACGAGGTGCATCTGTCCATCCTAGCAATTAAACAAAAGGCAGCATGTAGATATCTTTCAAACATCCTATTTCTCCCTACCATCAAGAGACTTAAATTCGCAAAACAAGTTACTGATCCAGTATTAAACAGGAAAAAAATGAGGGTTAAATGGAATTAAAAGGAATCTGGCAGAACAAATCTCAAATGCCCACTTGTGAAAGTCACCAAAAGAATTTAACAACTAAGTGCCTATGGAGGTATTAGNATTGCCCACTTGTGAAAGTCACCAAAAGAATTTAATAACTAATTAAGTGCTTATGGAGGTATTAAAGCAAACCAGGTACATCTCAAAACTGGCTGGTGCTCAGGTCTATGCAACCGTTTTGTGGGTCCACACACAGCCTGTTATGCCCGACACCCCCTAACCTTCCTGCCTCCAGGGCGCCCGCGATCCTGCCCCAGGGGCTGAGCCCTTTGCCCCACATAAAAAGTGAACTGTTGTGAGGCTCTGTTCTTCCAGACGCCACGACAAAGCAGCTCCTCCAGGCTGGCACTAGGGAGGGGGGTGCTTAATGGGCCCTCACGAGACGGCTAAGCCTCAAAGGAAAGCCCTGGGCCGCCCTGGCAGGCAGCCCGGCAGGCGGCGGGCAGTTCTGCGGGCACAGGACGGCGGCGGGGCGGTCTCCGCACAGCCCGCAGCACAGCTCGGGACCAGCCCCTGCACGTGGGCAGCTGCATTTGCTGAACTTCAGAGCCCTCAACAAACGGGGAGACTCAAGGCGCGTGGACCGCAGCCACNCTGAACTTCAGAGCCCTCAACAAACGGGGAGACTCAAGGCGCGTGGACCGCAGCAACTGGACGACTGCAGCTCGGCACCACCTNCGTGGACCGCAGCCACGCAACTGGACGACTGCAGCTCGATACCTACTGCCGAGGTCAGCGGCGGCGGCCCTGGCCACGTCCAGATTTCTGGCGATGACGGCCAGCCGGTAGCCCTTCTGGGCCATTAACTGGGCCACTGCCCTGCCAATGCCCCGGGAGCCTCCAAAAACAGCGCAGACTTTGTCCATCTTGGACCAGGAACTCGCACACTCGGAGGAAAGAAGGCTAGGAGTGCCGGCCCCTTTCCAGATTCGCGACCTTTAAACCACCGCCGCTCTAATTAAAGGAGAAAAAAAAAAAAAAGCCAACTGCCGCGAGAAAAAGTAGGCGCCCCACCCCTCCTCCTGCCGCGGGACTCTGACCATCCCGGAGGCCCGCACGGGCTCTGAGAGCAAAGCGTCAGCACGTAGACTTCCGCGCGCACCGGCTCCCAAGCGCCGCGCCCGTAGAGGACCGGACGCCAATGACGTAACGCGGCCAAGGACTGGCTGAGAAGGGGCTGCACTGCATGCTGGGACTTGTAGTTTTGGGACAGGAGGGAACGAGGCGTGGGCGAGCTGCTCAAGCGTGCTCCACAGCCCTAGGCACCTGGCGGGGGAGAGACGGGGTTGTGGCTCAGAATTAGAGCGCTGATGACCAACCACTCCAGTTTACCTGGAAGTAATGGGGTTATTTAGACGCTGGACTTTTCGTTTTAAAATCAGGGCAATCCCCATTAAATGGAAACAGGTTGATCACCATAGAACCCAGAATATACGCAATTATAAGTGGATCTTCCATTGGGGTGAGGGCTGCTGGTGCCCCCAAACCCCAGCGTTGTCACAGGGTCAATTGTACACTATTCGCGGAGTTCCAGTGTCTGCCTTTCATCCAGTGTTTGTCTTTGGCTGGGGAATAGATGCCCCACCTGTTGAAGAAGTGGCCCCCAAGTGTCAGACTCATACCAAAAGCTCTCCTACTTGTCCCTTCCCCCAAGTTGCCACAGAAATGGGCCTCACCCTAGCTGAACGTTACTAGTCATCTCAAAGGATGCTGCAAAGACAGATGCCCTGTCAAGGACACCATGTAATAGGAGCTCAAGAAATGTTAATTGAATGATTGAATATTCTTGCAGGACTCCTAAAACAAGCATCAGCTGCTGCAAACAAAAAGAAGTTCCTGCAATTCTAAAGACATGTGCTGAGTACTCTGAGAGTGAATAAACTAAAAGTTGAGCATTTGTTACAATTATACAGTAAAAAATGAAGCGTTTCTTGATGTAATATCATTAGAGATGAAGTGTAAACCATAGCCCCTACTACTTAAACACACACACACAGCCTGGGACAACAGGACTAAATACACATGAAACACTAGCAAGTAGTCCAAAATCATAAAGTGAAAAATTATATTAACACAAAAAATCAGAGAAACGGGAGAAGAAAGAAGAATGCATGGAAAAGCTGGATTTGAGAGCTGGATGCAGAATAAAAGGAGAAGAGAGAAAAAACTAAGTCAATTGAGCATTATTTTTTAAATATTATTTTTATTCTACCTAGATTCAAAAGGGATTTGAAATGACTTGCAAAAATTCATGAATAAAACCTCATGCCCATTAGGATGGCTACTATTAAAAAGAAAGTAAGTGTTGGTGAGGGTGTGGAGAAATTGGAACTCTTGTGCACTATTGTTGGGACTGTAAACTGTTGCTTTGGAAAACAGTATAGTGGTTCCTCAAAAAATAAAAATAGAGCTACCATATAATCCAGCAATTCCACTTCTGGGTATATACTCAAAAGAATTGAAAGCAAGGTCTTCAAGTGATATTTGCATACCCATGTTCATAGCAGCGTTATTCACATTGGCTAAATCATACATGAGCAAAGCAAGGAGGGTGGGCCAGGTACAGATGTCACCAGGGTGAAAAGCCCCACATAAATAGCAATGGACAATTTTGTAGGGTGGGATCTCATCCCCAAGGTGACCTTTCCTCACCTAACATATTGCTGGTCATTGGGTTTAGACCCTCTGACCTTTCCTCCCTAGAGGTAATTTCTAGGCCTCAGTTGTATCTCAGCTCCAGGCCCAGAAAAGCAGCAAAGCCAGATAAGCAATGCCATGGCTAACCTCAGGACCAGCTACACTGGATAATGACCCCCTGCCCCGCTGCTGACCAATCAATCAGTGCAGACCACAACCCTGAAAGGACACACCTGGAAAGCTGATGAATGTTCTATTCTTCCCCTGGGACCGCCCCTAAAATCTCTACCCTTAAAACCCTTAAGCCAGAGGACCCAGAGTGCTCTCCCCCCCCCCCAGGAGGACACCCTACCTTTCCCCTGCCCCTCCTCCTCTGTTTCCCCTTCCTCCCAGGCACCTCACTTTTACTTTCCTCACTCCTAAGCTCTAAGGGCCCTTCCTTTGCCTCTATAACTCGTTTCCTCAGCCCATTTCATCTATGAATTATTTTACTACCTCTGAGATTTTCTAAATAAATGTTTTCACGTAGTTTGAGCCTTGGCTCTGAATTCTTTCCTAGCCAAAACTCGAGTACCAACGTTGCTAAACCCAGGTCTGGTCTGACCCCATCGGTCTAACACCTCGTGCCGGTCCCACCACCCCCAACAGAAGCAACCTAAATAACCATCCAGGTAAGTTAGATGAGAGAAATGTCACACACACATACACACACACACACACACACACACACACAGATATCATTCAGCCTTAAAAAGTAAGGAAATTCTGCAATATGTTACAACATGAACGAAACTTGAGAACACTATGCTAAATGATATTAACCAGTTACAAGAAAGATGAATACTATATGATTCCACTTACATGAGGTACTTAGTGAAAATCATAGAGAAAGGAGAGGTTGGGGGAAGAGGAATGGGGTATTATTGTTTAATGGGTATGATGTTTCATCTTTGCAAATATGAAGAGAGTTCTGGAAAGTGATGGTGGTGATGATTGCCAACAATATAGATGCACTTGATACTACTGAGCTGTACACTTAAAAATGGTTAAGGCAATCAATTTTATGTTAAGTGTATTTTACTANTGATACTACTGAGCTGTACACTTAAAAATGGTTAAGGCAATCAATTTTATTGATTTGCAATTTTAAAAATTATAGGAGGGGGAAACCCCAGCAATACAAATATTAACATTGACAACAAGAATACTGAATTCAGTTTAAGGTTTCTTAATGGGATTGGATTTTATCCCTAAAGTGTCTATAGTAATACTGTCATTTAAATATGTGATTTAAAAGCACTTTAAATATTTTTTCTCTAAGGAGTTACACCACAAATGATACCAGCTTGTTTGGAAATTTCCTTGTTTTTATAATCTATTTAATTTTTCTTTTAATTATATAAAACATTGATATGGTTCTTAAGTATGAACCACAAAACAGTACATTCAGAAAGTATAGCTTTCATCCATGTCCTTGTTTCCACTGTTCTTCCTACCACTATAAACTGCTGATTTTGTTAATTTTTAAAGTTATCCTTCCATTTTTCTTTTTGAAAATATTAGAAAATGCACATATCTATCCTGTTTCACCCTCTTTCTTATGCAAAATGTTGTATGCTGCAAATATTGTTCTACACCTCGATTTTTTAGGGGACCACTCTCAACCCCCAAGGCCTGAACAATAGCATGAGGTCAGAGGAAAAGTTACACAAGTCAAGCCATAAGAATATATTCAGTATTAAAGAAGAGATGCATATGTGATTCTGACTTTCCTAGTGGCCAAAGCAACTAAGGAAACATGATTAGTTACAAGTAATAATAATTATAAGAAACACATACACCTGTACAGGGGAGAGATCTGAGTGAAATTTCCTCCTCGAAATCCTCATAAAGGACACAGGAAGCATTATAGTGGACTTAGCTGTCATGAAAAACTATATAACACTATTTTAATAGCATCAATTTTTGTAAGCAGAGGACAACACTCCAAAGCAGTCTTTACTAAAAGCAAATACAATAGAAAGTTAAACAATAGAAGCAAACATTTAGACACAAGAGTGACTCTTTCTGTATCTGAAACAATGAGGAAATAAACTAGTTATGGGAAGGTTGGGATGGTGCTGGTTATANGTTATGGGAAAGTTGGGATGGTGCTAGTAAACTTTAAAGGAGATGAAGCATTAAATAGGGAGGCACTTTAACCCCTTAAGTTAGAAGATAAAAGCTGCATTTAAGGACAAATAGTCTAGCAGTGCTGCCAGGATGGGTTGGACCAAATTGGTCTAAGCCTCTCTCTGGCTATCCACTCATATGACCAATATGTGGGTCAGCCTAAAGGCCAATTGTATTCCTGGCACCCAGTATCTCAGGGCAAACCAGAGAGGTTCAATCTTTGTGGACAACTCTGTTGATTTCAATAGGAAAAGGGTTATATTTTTCCTACAACTGTTATTTTAGCAAAAAGCATGGTTTTTTAGATCTATCCCATCAACCTCAAAGATCATTAACACACAATGTGAGGTGACATCCAAACTTCTCAAATTCTTCCAATTTTTCCCACTGTGTATCTACAGTAATGGTTAGGTTGCGCTTTTTTTTTTCTTTTTCTCCCCAACACATACTTCAGTGTAAACTCGAGACTATTATTTATTTATGTTTCCCCTCAGTGCAACACCACTGCCACCCTGGGTGAGAATACACTCGTCACAGCACATCCACCGTTAGCCAGGTGTGCTGGCAGGGGAGGTGCCCTGGCCCCTTGCTAGTGAGCTGAGAGGCTGTAAATTGCACTGGGCCTGCTGTCCCCAGCAGGGCAGCGGAGAGAGCCATTAGGACAGTCCACCTTCAGTCTTCTCTTCTATTCTCACTGCGCGAGTCACTTCTCTGATAATATTTTGACTGTATTCTCCACTTTTCTTTCATGTAAACCCACAAAAGACTATATTCTTTCTTGACTCTGATAACCAGAGGCACATGAGAAAATTTCTTATGTATAAAACTGGTAGCCAAATTTTTAAATATACATACTTTGTAGTATTTTTTCTTTGTACAAAAGGACTACCATTTAATTGCAAAAGGAATTTTAGAAAAAAAAATACTTTTAAATATAAAAAATGAACTGAAAGCACTGTATACTATAAATGGGTAAATTATAGGGTATGTGCATTATATCTCAATAAAGCTGTTATTTAAAATATTAACTTAGCCTTGGGCTTAGTCTCGTGCACCAAAAGGTTGCCAGTTCCATTCATACCTGGTCAGGGCACAGGCCTGGGTTGCAGGCTCAATCACCAGTAGAGGGTGTGGGGAGGCAGATGGTGGATATTACCCTCTCCCATAGCTCTTTCTCTCTCTCCCTCTC